TTTCTCCCAAGGATTGGAAAATAAAAAGAAAATTTTATTTTTAATTTTTATATTTTTTGGCATTATTTATTTCTTTTGACAAAAACATAATTTAAAAACATAAAATAAATATTTTAACAGAACAATTATAAGAGACACATGTAAACATATTAATTATTTATTATTATACACATTTTAATTTCTATGTTAAAAACACATAAACAACATAATAGATTTATTATTGTAGTATCTATTACAATACTTAAAAACATAAAACAAAAAAAAGATTCTCGATATTAAGCAAATAAAAAACAGATACAGTCTGTATTTAAACGTTATCTGGTACCTTTTGGAACATAAAGATTGGAATATTTCGGGAAGCCGTCTTTAAAATCCATCTCAATTGTTTCGGTTTTTTTTTCACTTTTTTCTTAATGCTTAATGTTTTGACAAAATTAAAGTTATTTTATGTTCATCAGATGACGTTAAAAGACTGATTATATTAGAAATTGCGAATAGATATAACTGTGGTTTAAATGCTTATTTTGTAATATGTAATAATTGCAATTATTATAAAAAAACTTGTGTTCAACTTATTAGTGAACACTAAGTTGTTCACCAAGTTTTATATTATTATTATAAATCTGTTTTTGCAATTATAATATTTTATTGTTATAATCTTGGTTTTACGATTTTGACAAATTAAATGCATTTATCAACATAATAACATGTTTATATAGATTGCCAAATTATTGGTTTTAATACTATTAAGTTGGATTTTTTTATTCATAAAACCAAAAAAGTAAAAAAGAAAATAAGATTGAATTACGCTATTAAGTAATAATTATACATGTTTTATATTTATAAAATTGGATTGGAACAAGTTTTGATTGGATATAAAACCAAATCCGATAGAATACCAATCCGATAGAGTATCGACTGTACTTGGTCCCTGGTTTTTAAAAATAAACAAACATATCCCCAAAAAACCCCGATTATTTGTTTATTTTTCTCTGACAAGAAAACTTTATACCAAAAATAAAACAGCATAATTTCGTCTGGTTCCTGGTTTATGATTTGGTAACTAGTTTTTCCGCTATCTATAATAAATTTGAAAGTTTTATATTCAGTTTTTTACTATTTTAAACCATTTTATATTGAATTGATCATTTTTAACATTAAACTATTGTGTTTTTACACATTTTTGAGACTATAATGAATATGGTATAATTTACAAAAGTTTTTAGTTATTTAGTTCCAAAATAAGTCGGCGACTTTTAAAGGGACTCAAAAAGTCGCCGGCTTCTTAGTAATTTCAAAAGTCGCCGAACAGCCATTAATTTCATCAAAATAACAATTGAACATTTGTTTTAAATTATAATAAAATATATAAAAGTAAAAAGATTATTATCAAATAACAAATGAGGATTTAATTTGTTATTTGTATGTTTTCATTAAAATTTTAAATTCTAAAGTTAATAAATTTAAATAAGATTTTTATATTTTTTAACATTTAAGTTATTATATTAAAACATACTTTAAAAAAATCATGTGTTACTTTTTTAATACACAAACAGACATAAACCATAATAAAAATGAAAACCCCACTCAATATTTGCCTTTTATATTTTGTATTAATGTAATAATATTTTTTATTTTTTATTAATAAATTATAACATTTCAAATAATAAAAAAATTACATTAAAAAGAATGAATAATACATTTTTATCGTTGTTGATTATCGTTGTTCTAAAAAAACAAAACTCTATATAAATGAACTCTTTACTTTATATTCAAATGAATCAATTTTGCAAATACATCATCATTTGCATTTTTATTCTATTGGCTGTTGTATCATTCGTTTGTTCTTGTTCATATATCATCAAATGTGTTTAATTTATATGAGAAAATACTGTAATAAATGATTATCGTACAGTTTATTTATTTAAAAACAACTATATATTATAGTTCTATTTATTTACCTTTATAATAATTCTTTTGCGTTGTTAACATATTAATTTTTTATATAATTTCAATTAAACACGAAAATCGAATTTTAGTTCATTTGAAATTAATAATTAAACACAACAAAAACACAACATTTTAATTTTCTTCAATTGTTTACAACAAAAACAAATTTAGAGTAAATTAAGAGGCAAATTAACATCTGAACAATATAATTTATCATATATACTATAAAAATTTTAAATTGAAAAAGAATATACTCAAATTAAGTTTGTAGCGGGTGTTGGTTATTTCATCGACGCTGAATACCTTTCCTTTGGCAAAGAAACATACGGTACTTCACGAAATGAAAACATTGGATCTGCACGGTATTTATTTGTGTTAACAACAACATGTGTTGTTATGGGTTTGGTTGTCGTCGCTTTTGTCATTAAATTGTTTGTCAATGGTGGGAGGAAAGTAACAGGACTTGTTTTTACTGGACTTTCATCAACGGTATTTGTACTGACTGTTATCCTTTACATATGCATGTGTAGTAAAAAATACCCCGATTATATCATTGAGGATGAAAGAGCCTTTGAAAAAGAAGTTTGTTATATTTTCTATTTAATTTTATGCACTGCGAAATTATATGAAGTTTAATTGTTATAGTAATTATATAATATTTTTGAAAGAAATCCAAAGAGTGTGCAAATATCACAGATTTTTTTGTTGGTGTAACAATTAAAATTAACATCAAAATTATAATAACATCTGAATAGTATTGTAATAACAACATTAAATGACAATCAGCACAACTGTTGCATCGATTCCCATACAGACGACGAAGGAAAATACAAAGTATGCCAATGCCAACAACTGATAAATCAAGACGGAAAATACACATGGTGTGATCAGTGTAAGCTTGGACAAGATACAGATCCACTTGGAGAACTTGGAGCCATATTAACCATGTGTGGGGAATTACTTTGTGAATTGGTTATACTCTTCTGTTTTATAGCTTTAACTGTATCACTATTTTTGTGTTCGGCAAAATTTGGAGACAACGGATTTGTGTTGCTTCCAAATTAGAAAGTCTCAAATAAACCATTTTTGATTTTTTGTTTTATTATTTAAATTTGAGTGTAAATTAATGTTATTGGTTATATTTTTATCGTTTGAAATGTTTTGAATTAGTAAAGCAACATAAGTGGTTCAGTTTTAATTTGTTTAATTCTTGTTTTTAATATCATTGTTTATCATAAACTTATTTATTTATATGTAATAAAATAAAAATGAGAAAATTAATATAACTTAGTAGAGATAGACCCAACCATGGAAACAATTGTGGAACAATTTATGATCTGTCATTTCTAAAACAAGTAAATACCATCCGGGGAGTGTAACAGACTCAGAGACTTTACCATCTGCTTTAAAGTGTTTTGGTCCTGTTGTCTTACACCCACCTTCGATAGTTTCACATATCAATTGATCGTCATATTTATATGAAGCAATGAAAAGAGTTCCCCAATAGTATTCGACGCGCCAAGTAAGAGTTACATCCTCGTGAAGTTGATATATATCAAAGTTTATAGTATAATGTGTTATCTCTCTTTCAGCTGGCTTTTCATATGAAACTGTTGTAACATTAAAATCAACATTGACTGTTTTGTCTTCGCAGTATGACATATCAATAACGCCCAAATCGGCATAACTTAAAGCAATGAGCAAAGCAATGAATAACATAAGAATTGAATTTGATTGTATAAAGTTGGTTTAAATATAATATCAAAAGGTTACTTTATTATTAATTGTTATAACTTTTGACCAATTACGTCAAGAATGAATTTTAATGACCAGTTAATTATTGCATAAATATAAACAATATTTTTGTAACATTGAATAATTAAAACAAATGAAAAGTTGTGCTGACTTGACAAAACATTTTTGTTGATGTTAAATTATATGTATTATTTAAAAAAATCCAAAACCATTGATCAAATAAAAAAAACACAACAACAAATAAATTAAATTTTTAGAGGTCAAAAAATAAACTTAAAATTACACAACAAATTGAGTTTGAATAAAAATAGTTTTCATGTTTAAAATTTAGTATTTTTAGTTTAATTTACAATAACGATATTAAAAATTGTTATTATATTATTATAGTTCATAATAACATTGATGTAAATCTTAAAATATTCAAATATTGTTAAAACATTGGAATATAACACCAAACAATAACAAGTCATTTCTTACACCAATATAACCATCAGAAGTGTTAAAGTAACCACACATAAAATGGTTGCACTGTCTGTATTTTCCCCGTTTTTGACACATCTTTTGTTTGTGTCATCACTCAAAGTATAACCATCATCACATTGGGCAAACTCGCAGTTGGTATAATTGAAACTTCCATTAATACATTTTGCAGCCCAAATTTCACCATCTTTTGCATCTTTACATAATTTAGTTGGTAAAATTGCACCTTCGTTACACACCGTTTTCTTGACACACTCTTTGTCAGAATTTAACTCATATCCCGGTGTACAATCATAGAACACGCAATTTGTATTATCGTACTTCCCATTAACACATTTGGCGGCCCAAAATTCCTTTTCAGAAGTTTCCTTGCACATTTGATCTATTCTGATTTCTCCATCTTTACACGAAGAGGATTGTACGACACATGTCTTCTTTATATCATCGTACATATATCCACTTTTACACGACATAAACTCACAATTTTCAGTGTTATATCGGCCATTTATGCATTTGATTCCCCACAACTCACTGATACTCGCCTGTGGGCATTTGATGTTTTCAACAATTTGGGTTGAGTCCTCACACTCTTTTTTATAACACATATTCTTTATTTCGTCACGAAGATACCCGGTTTTGCATTCCATAAAAGAGCAATTATTTGAGTCCAGCACATTATTAATACAAGGTGATCCCCACATTTCACTGTCACTGTTTTGAGTACACTTCGAATTGTAAGTAATATTTTGTCCTTCTTCGCATTCAATAATTTGACAAGCCTTCGTTTTATTGTTATAGAAGTATTTATCAGCACATCTCACAAATATACATTTGTCCATATTAAAATACTCATTTTCACACAGTCTTCCCCACACTTCCGAAGCGTTGTTTTCACTGCATTTTATATCTTCTTTTAATTCTCCGGTCTCACACCAATTTTTGTACTTTTCAATGTACGCCTCTGCTACTTCTAAGAACTCATCGACTGATTGTTCGTCTCCATAGTAAAACTGTATGTTTGTGTGCTCCATAGGTTGGTGCACTTTATACTCATTTGGCACCAAATCACTTTCATTCAACGGCAGAGTTGGTAAATATGATATACCCATCTTAAATCCCATGTCCTTCACAACTGTTTCCAAGCCGTCATGAATATAATCGTCTTGAATCACAGCAGTTGGACTCTCTCCAAGATTTCTGAATGTTGAGTCTGGTAGTCCACAATATGTCGCGGTGATTGCAGATTTCTTCTCACTAAAGTGATAAGTGAACAGTGAACACGCAGAGAAGCAAAAGTGGTCTGAAAAGACGACAATTTGATTTTTCTTTCTTGCATTCATTGTTGGGAAGTCTCGAGTGTTTTCAATCAAATGAGACTTCTGAATGTGTTTAAACTCAACTTCTTTGTTTTCTCCATAAAATTCAGAGCCAGGTTTATTATAGAAGTCTCCAAGGTCACCATCATAATACGAGTTACTTCTTGGAACTCTTCTAATATGTGTCACGGGATCTTCTATAAGTGCTCCAAATCCATTTCTAAGGACTTTCTCTGAACTTTCACTGATTCGAGCAACATTTGCTTTCTCATAGTTTGTCGATGGAGAAATAATTTTATATAAAAAGTCTTCAGCATCAACAAAGCCGCCGCCATTACGTGGAAGAACTATAACTATTGGGTCGGTGTTGGAGTTAAATATCTCTCCACCATT